ATACATTCGTTTGTGCATATCTTTAGTTCTTGATTCAGATACTTCTAATTATCATACAAACCCTCGAAGCTGCATAAGAAAGACACTTCAAAAAACTTGATCTTCAACGTGAGTACCACATCACTAATAAAAAAGTAACTAAGACTGAAATCAGCGTAGATAGATGTAATAAATAGAAGTATATGTATCAAGAATTAAGAAATGCACAAACGAATGTATTGTATTTAGAATTCGAAATCAAGCATTCCACAACAACAAGAAGTTACTAGTTCATTCAAACACCACATCCGCCACAGCTTAAATTGGAATGTATATGTCTGTAATCAATTGTACGTCTTCTTCTCAAATTCATCCTGTGTCTGTCCGACAGTGCATTGGATAAAGGCGCTGTATTACCTAGAATGCTCTCATTAGTATTAGAATTAACAACCGAAATTGGAACAGACTCACCTGGTTCTTGGAATTGTATTTGATCAACATGTCGATTGTGTGTACTTAAGTCATTGATATCTAGAAGTTGCACCATGGATTTCCCGACATTCTTCAGAACAATCCCCGTGGATGGTCGAAGATCATTGCCACGATAATATGTAACTTCTGCAGACTCCAAACATCTCATATTCGACCGAAGAATTCTTCCTTTTAATAGTTTTGATGGAGTCTCGTTCGTCACTGAATGTCTGGCATTTCTATATTGCAGTAGAAAGGTATCTACTCCCCTCTCCAGCTCATTAAATATTGAGACGGCAATAGAATCAATCCACTTCGAATGCTGATTTTTCAGCTTATGACACTTTTCGCAATTCTTTGCTGTACGACAAATATCTGCGTTTATCTCTGGCCACCAACACGTGAGCCTCGCCAAGGACTTCATTTTCTCAACACCTGAATGTCCACTATGAAGATCTTCCAGGACAGCTTTACGCAATGAAGGAGGAATAACAACCCTTATCATTTAAGCACAAAATACCATCAGGAGTAGTGAATAGCTCATCTCGCTTTGAAAAATAGATAGGGAATCTGCGTTTCAGATTAGCATTCCAACCTTTCCGTATAGCATGAATTATACATCCAAAGTTTCTACGAGTTTCTCTAATGAGATCTGGACGTTTCACTGGTAAAGGTTGCACCAACAAACAGTCTGAAGTATTAATAGGTTTATCTTGTAATGACTGTCGAGAAATGTAGTCAACATGTTGAATTTGTTTGGCACTCCTGTGCTGAACCGTTTTCATACCTCCATTGCACTTAGCACGCGTGGCTATCGAATCTTCAAGTAAAGCATCAGAATTTTCTTTAGAAACTAGGAAAGACAACTCCACTTTAAGTCTTTTCAAATTCTTTAAACCCAGTATTGACAGTCCTGTTTCACTAACTAAAAATTCACAAGGTATGTATGAGGAATTATCATCTCTTATTAGCAATTCACAACATCCTCGTATAGGCAGTCTGTGTCCAGTAATCCCCAATATTGATACTTCAGTGGGTCGTATCACAACGTTCGGATCTAATGATTTCAAGTTCTTGAATGAAATAATGGACTCTATACTGCCTGTGTCCACAATAAAGTCATGACATGAACCAAGCCATGTATATAGTCGCTTTTGAATATGAGCATTACCTTTCGAAATGGTAGACAAAGATAAATGATCATTAGGATCAGCTGAATTATTGGGATCTAAATTACAAGATTTAGTACTGCTTGAGGCAAAATGAACAGTAGCTTTGCATACTGCCTGAATGTGTCCTATCTTACCACATCTAAAACATTTAGCATTACGAAATGTACAATAATAACGAGAATGAAGTTTTCCACATGATAAACATTTGCCAAACTTGGTCTCACCTTTTTGATTTCCTTTGTAATTCTTTTTTGAGACACCGTTCATATTTACACGAGAATAGGAACCACTGTTAAACGAACACAATTTCAATTGACCCTGAGATTGTTTTTCATCATGACAACTAATCAAAGTATTGGAAATCTTCATCGACTGAATATCAAGTCCATTCAACGCCTCGTAGTTAATGCACGCAGTTCTAACATCTTGAAAGGAACAGTTTGACATTCTTAACAGCTCTCTTTCCAAACTAGGTATGTTAATTCCTGCAATTAATCGGTCTCTCAGTTGCACATGAAGTTGATCACCGAAATTACATTTGACAGCCTGTTTCTGCAATTCAAGAATGAATTCCTTAACATTTTGGTCATTTTGACGAATCATCTTATGAAATTTCGCTCTTTCACGGCATTCAAAACCAGGGCACTTTACATGACTCAATAATAACTCCTTTAGCATTGCATAGGGAAGTGAAATAGGTTTCTCTGGATATGCCAAGGTTTTTAATAAGCTGTACGCTTCTTTTCCGATGAATGTTAGGAAATGAGCCACAATTTTATCATCTTTGACATCTTTCCTGGTCATACTCCAGATTTCAAACCTTTCAAAATAATCTTCAAAAGCTTCTGAAGTAGAATGAATATCTAGCTGTTCCATTACAAATTCCATCGCGACGCCAGTGTGGTATTTAGAAGTATATGTATCAAGAATTAAGATATGCACAAACGAATGTATTGTATTTAGAATTCGAAATCAAGCATTCGACAACAACAAGAAGTTACTAGTTCATTCAAACACGGCAGTTTGGTTTATGGTAAATAAATATGTGTGTACTAATTGTCAATGATAAGTTGATTTTGACCAAATGCGGATAAATTTACTGAACGCGTTGGTTATGTAAGTTTTGATTGTGTTGGTCTTAGGATCTACATTCTTGGATTACAGTCAGATAGAAGTAAATGCTTCATCGTAATTGATGTTTATAGTCGGTCGTGACGACCGAACCGGCCAAAGTTCTCTATTGTGGTGGTGTTTCGTTCTCTGAGGTGGATATTTTGGTTGTGAAGCTTTCATTATTCTCGTAATCAACATCGTCAACACAGACTTCAGAGGACGAAACACCATCACAGTCATCCACCTGAGCTACAAATTTTTCTCCACGATCTAAAAGTTCTCTATCGATCATCCAACCAGAACGTGTGGCCACGTTTCAGCGGCTAAGTTCTTGATGGATATTACATCTAACCATCATGCCAATGAATAAAAGTATCCTACTTGGTAGAAGCTGGTACAGGGAGCTTTCAAAGATTGAATAAAGAATTTGTGTTTATTCACCTGAGAGTTATGGTTGTCTCACAGGAGAATTTCTAATTCTTGCCTCTTTATTCATAGTCGGCCAGCGAAATCATTCTGCGGTCAACTGGATCAGCATAAGACTCTCTATTGACAACGTGTCGTGAATAATGGATGATCATTACCTAAATATGTACCTCAGTGTAAGCTATTTTGCTTGTTTCAATTTGTTTGCGTCTTTATATCAAGGTGCTGATGATAGCTTTTTCTGGAGATCGGTGCTTTCTTTAGAAGCTAGGTGAGTTTTGGAAGATAGATTTCTTGGAATTTATTGACCTTAGTATAGATTAACCACAGGGAGAAAAGTGTCTGTGCAAGTAGCGGGCCAGCAATTGAGTTACAGAAGAATTATATGTCCTGTTTTCAGCTGGTCACTCCATACTTAGTAGTCAGAAGTTTTCTGCTGGAGAAGAGATTTCGTACTTAATCCCACTTCCCTTAAAGCTGTCATCCACCATTTCGTTTCTGATGACCGAAAGTCGTAGCTCGGTAAAGCGATACTTTACGTAGGTGTTGCTCTGTACTGAAGGTTTCTTGTCGGATCACCGAGTTAACTAACTGGTTTAACTATCTCCTTACTTTCGTTCTATCCATTACATAGGTTTCGTTTTGAATTAAGCTATTGGGTCACATCTTACTCCAAACAACGATCAGCCAGAGGTGGATGAAATGTCAGATCTGGGGTTTTCTCTTTTTTTCGCAGCCTTATTTCGGTCATATAAATAGAATTTGGAGGTCTGGTTTAGAGTTAAGTCTTTGTTCTTTTGAAGTTCATCTAACAATACTGGAATTGTTTAGCTTGGCTTTCAAAAAATCACCGTGCAATTTTCTGAATACGTATGTGTAGATATAGGCACAGATATGAATCGTTGTTTTGATAATGTGACGAAGATGACGGCAGTTAGCGTGGATTACGAAAGAAACAAAATTCACGAAGTGAAACCAAAGCTTTTTCAGTTCGTTAATACAATGTTCAAATGACTGTTTCACCCAGTAGTATTGTGAATTGAAATGTAGATTTTAAAAAGGGTTTAGAATTATCAGGCATATGTGTGGAGGCTAATTTTGAATAGCTTACACAGCTTCCTCTTAATTGGAGCATTCGGTTGTTAAGTTTTAGCAAAGTTGTAGGATGTCTTCTCCCTAAATTTATGGTGACAGTAGCGAAATCAGTAGAACAAATTTACCACTGAAGAAATGCACAGGCTGGGAAATACATCCTGAGATTGCTCAAGAACCAACCTTTAAGTATCAGTTGAGTTTATCAATCAGATAATGATATTTTGTTATGTTTTACTTGTTTTTTAGAGTATTCTTATGTTCTACGTTATCTGCCTAAATTACATGGAACAACTAAGACTTCACAAGAGGTAGAGGTAGAAGACAGCTATGAAGTGGAGCATCGGCGCTCACATGATAGATTGGATCCGTCCAGTCATGTCAGGAAACGCTTCTCTCGACCATTGTGTATCCAGTCAGGATCAAAATATGGCAAAATATCTTCTCTTAATAATAACATGACAGAGATACTACGCTATGCTGAACAATATATGAGGTGGTTGTTGGAAGTTCTAAAAGAACATTTTTGTGCATAAAACTAGGAATCATTTTAATAGGAATGTATTCGGGTATTTTTAAAATAGTCAAAGAGAATTCTGTCTCCGAATTCTTTCAAGAATTAAACATGTAAGAAAACAGGTCAACCGTAATGAAGGAAAGCAAACTTCATATCGGATTATAAAAGAATTTAATAGTTCATTTTTATGCACAAAGCTACCCATAATACATTCAGTTCGAAAAGCTGACGTGAGTATCTCATGAACAGTCCAAGTGCATGTTAGCTTATTTCAATATGAAATAACCTCAGTAATGTGCAAATACAATAATTTGTGCCCGTAGCTGTTATCTGTTAATATCATCGGCTATTTTTATATTTTGTTTTTCCTATAACACATTGAACTTCTTAGTAAATTCTTTAGATAAGTAAATCTGATTTACAGCTAGAAAACCTTCCGCTGATATTCAGATGTAGCGACTTCACTTTTATGAAGAGGATGCGATTAGTTTAATAGAAACACTCATTATTGTAACCAATTGACAAAGTGATTGTTTTGCTAAACCTTTTGTTTATATGTACTGTGTACGCGCAAACTTTCGTTTTTTGTGATTAAAGTGCTCGCGGTAACTTCGCCTTTCTTTTCTTGCACGATTTCAGTATTCGTTCGATACGACGAAATCGCCAGCAAATCTTTTCCCTTGTATGGATTAATTCGTCTTCTCTGTCTTCGATCCATGGAGATATTATATTTTGTAACGGGAGGGTTAATGGGTCTGTAATGGTGATGATAGTCAACAGCGACACGTCCCATTATACATGAAAGGTAAAATATTCTTGAGGAAGTTTCAAAATTTCTGTAACATATGGCATAGAATTTCATTTTATTAGTCAAAGAAATAGTATTCATAAATATGATAAAAATAAGATGGATTAGATAGATTTTATATCAAGTAAATTACGAAGAATAGTTACAAAATCTCGGGGTATATTAAATTAATTGTTCCAATACGATTTTCCCCAATGTTGGTTATTTAACAGTTCATTCATAATGCTGCGAAATTTCGAAAATATGGATGAGAATATATCTCAGCAACAACAGACTCTTCAGATGGTTCTTCAAGTTTACAGCTAAAATAAAAACAAATGAACAGATGTTAATTGAATTTAGCTGAAATTATTTTGAGCATGTGATTGCAAGACAGAAATAAGTAGTTATTGAATCTTTATTGCTTGTTAGTGTTTTAAAAATGATTCGCAATGAACCTGTGGCAGGTATGTAACTTCTTTATAACGTTGGTACTATATGCATCAACTAAGGAGAAGCAAGTCATATCTATTATATTTATCAATAATTTCACAGGATAAGTAATATCTGTGGAAAAATGGGCTATTTTGTACAGAATCTATTTTTAAATTATCATTGGAATAATTAAAACAATTAATCCTCATTGTTCAGTCTTATATTTGGTTGTGAGTGTAAATAATCGAAGAGCCTGAAAGTAAATCAGAATAACTCTCAATGTTTGCTGTTTATCCATAACACATTGGCTAACGTTTTTTATGAGACCAATTATGACAAATGTATTTTAGTAATTGTAGGTGGTATTTACACAGTCTTCATAATAAATAACACCACAAATAATGCCAAGAGGAACAGTGTTCATTCTTATTCTTAATTTCGATTTGGTAACAAAAAACAAGCTTGATCGTTATTAACAGTACCATTAGATAAAAAATTCATTTTCAAAAAAATTTAATTCACATGAATGATAACCTATTTTTTAATTTTTTTTATCGATTACCGATTAAGTGTGAAAATAAAATTAGTATTGCATTATATGTGTTGTTAGAATAATATTAATTATCGACTTAAGGTACGATATAATTTATTTTCATGAAAGAAGATAATGTTTAACTGGACTGATTACAGTTACGAAAATAAGACTCCAAGTGAAAAATATCACCTTATAGGTAAAAAGCAGAGTGGTAAGACGGTTACAGTGACTAGAAACTGGTCAAATACTGTTCCATTGAGTATGTAAATCTTTATACCCGATAAAGGTTTTGTTGAGACTTTTACTCGAATGATTACATTACATCTCATTGCATTTATCAATTTACATGTTTGTGTGGACACACATACATGGGGAGGAGTAATCGGACTTTGCAATCAAGGGTTATGGGACATGTACCAAAGTGGCTTCAAAATCAGTTAACGTCAGATGAGCCGATAAGCGTTGGAAACAGAAAATCATGTTCATCGATCGCAAAACACATAATTGAGACAGGGCATAAGATTGACATCAAAACAGCCTTCAAAACATTGTATAGAAATGTTGAAGGACGAATTTTGAGGTTTATGGAGGCCTTGGCTATTCGAAAATTAAAACCCCCCTTATGTGTGCAGAAACAATTTGTCATAACCTTGAATTTATCCTGCTAATCTTTAAGCCAAGGGTAATGTGACAATTTTCCTACCCTTTGTTATTCTTATCATATTACGTAAATTTTTCTCTCCTTTATTCACAATTATCACCTTACGTCTATTTGAAATTTTATTTATTTACTTGACCTTTCATTAATCTTCATATAAAATGCCTTGACAAGTAAATATGTGTGACCGGATTTTTCGAAATGTATTGCCCGAATACATCACATTTTTCGGATCTATTACGTCTTCTCGCTGTTCTATCAAAACTTTAACTTTTATTCTACATTATACCCGGTTAATTTTAACGAAAAACAAACATATTATGAAACGTTGTTTGTAAGAAACCATACTTTCAACTTGAATGTTAAAGACTGAAAGCGTTTTATCTTTATCGAAACATAAGAACATGGGTCGGATTGTCATGAAATTGGTTTTTATTGAAACGTCTAAGATAAATTCGAGCTGTGGCCAGCAGTTTGGTTAATTACTCGACGAAGATAAATTAGAAACTCTACCAAATAAATTTATACCAACTGAAAAAGAAAGTTGTTAACCAGACTCAGTAACTGAGTGAATAATGCGCTAGAATTCAAACTGATAGGTAGACGTTTTGAATCTAGGGAAGAAGAGCAACACTAGGATCAAGGTGTACCGGCTTCAAAAGTAACAAATAAGATGGGACGTTTGTTTATGGTTCATCTGTTAGTTTCAATCTAACTTTATTGTTTATAAAATTTGACCGACCTGAATATACTAAATCAACTTCACCATAAAATGAAAAACATACCGAAATATTTCGTCCAATGTTATGGGAATCATGTGAGTGGATGACCGCCGTCTGAGAAAAGACAATGACGATACTAATAAATGCGTTGATTTATATTTTGATGCTTCATCATCATCGCTCTCATCATTATTAGGATGAGAAGAGCTGGCTTGGTTTGAAGAATTTCCATCGGGTGCATCATAATTCGTGGTATTATTTTTCATGATTTCAAGTGACTGGTTTTGAAACACTGATATTTCTGGTTGTAAGTCGCGTCGATGTAAAAATGACTATGAACAAAATTTTCAGGAAATTTCCAAAATAACTGATTATAATAAAATATCAATAAATGAAAACATATTATATTTAAATGATGAATGAAAATGATATACGAATCATTGAATAACGCCTACATAGTGATAAACTGAAGATTTTGTAATTTCTGTATAAAAAATAGTTGAAACAATTAGTAGCTCATTACTAACAGTTATCAACTTATTAATCTGGATAGAAATGTAGATTGTTCTGAATTGAAACTTATTTAAAACAATCCCAGCTGATATCATTTTTTCTATTTTAATTGATCATTTCGGTGTTGATAGGCCAATCAGTCAGCCACCATTAGCATACAGCCTGGTTAAGATGTGCGTTGGTCGAATTTTTTAATGCCATAGTAGCACGAAAATGTAGAAATAAGAAGATCAATAGCAAAAGCGGTTGGCATAGTGCGATAGCAGTGGCAATTAGAAAGTAAAGTTTAGCTTAAATTATAGTTTCGTAGAAAGTAGTTGATACTATGCTTCACAAATTTATTGTATCTATAACACTTTTACTTAATTCTACTTATATCTGAAAGTCATGATGTGAAATAACTCTTACAATATATCCCAAAACTGATTTTGAACAAAACCAGTATTTTCAGTTAGAGTTTTGGAGATTTGTGGTTTTACACATTTGGAATCATCAATCATTGTTAGACTACCATTAGAAACCTGGAAGCACTGGACGACCGTTTCGTCCTGGTATGGGACTCATCAGCAGTGCGCATCCACGACTCCTGCATCCTGCAGGATTCGAACCCGGGACCCTCGGTATTGTGCGCGAACGCCTAACCATCGGACCAGTCGGCCGGCATCAAACGGTGTTAATGTCTAACTCTGATTGATCTTAGGATTTTGCGCGACCTCACCCTGTCGGGTGTAGGAAGTAACCACCAAAGACGAATGGGTCCCGGGTTCGAATCCTGCAGGATACAGGAGTCGTGGATGCGCACTGCTGATGAGTCCCATACCAGGACGAAACGGTCGTCCAGTGCTTCCAGGTTTCTAATGGTGGTCTAACAATTATTAACTGATTATTCCAAATGTGTAAAAACAAATAAATAATAAATAATTTGTTTCATCAACATGACCAAAACATCATTAACAAAACTAGAACTACCATCTTCATTTACACTTGTAAAAATGAGACAATTAAATGAATAATTTATTCAGTGCATGGATAATTCATAATGCTCAAGTATTTGAATCGTCTATTTGTCAAAAGACGTCTAATAATGTTAATTTTTGTGTGTTCGGTATATTTTTTTTGTCTAAATATGTCACATTTTAGGAGAAAAAACCTAGTATGCTGATTAGCTGCCTTGTCGTCTGATATATGTGCAGTTGGTGGCTTATGTAAGGAATTCAGTCTCACGAGCTGCCACTAAGTGACCACTCCGTATTGTGGAGTATCTTAGGTTGATCCAAATCAGACTGATGAACTTTAACAATTTATAACTTATTGATTCATTAAAATTTAAGTCATAACAACAACGTGACTACTAAGGTGTACTGTCTGCTCTTATAAAGTATCTACTATATTCTTAACTGCCATCGAACAATATAAATTGAGTGATTAATATAAAAATATATTTAAAATAGGAAAACTTATGTTGTTTTAATCGCACAAATATTTACCTCGATTATGAATGCAGTAGTTAAACTGAGTATTCCAACAACAACAAATAGCCACCAACTAATCATATAGATGTGAATCCATCTAAATATAAAGTTAAATATTGCGCAAGTAAATAGTTAATCAAATCAGCTATAACTAGGCATAAAAATAAAATGTAGAAGGTATTTTCGATAGAAAATCTGTGATAAAATGTTATAAATATCGGAATGGCAAAGAAACATAATTTAAATGCAGTACTTCAAATACTCTGAAATGAATTGATTAAACTACACAAAACATAATGTTCGGGACTATACAAAGTTTTATGGTACCCAGTCAATTCAATCAAAGTCACTTATGGTTGTGAATGTGATCGCACTAGATATATAGTTCTACATCTAGTAATCTTAAATTATGCGGAAACAAATATTTTCAATGCTCTGTAAATTTTACGAGTTTTTGAATCAAATTAAATTAGTTCCTTAGGAAAAATCTGTCTGTCAAAAAGTAAAACAATTATTCTGTTCATTTTGTTCTGGGTAAACTGAATAGGTTATGATGCTACTGGTAGAACACTTTGTTCTCTATCGATTTAGTGGATAACATACTGTTATTAGAATTTTTTTATTTGCTATGTATTAAAAATGAGATTAGATTAGAAAAAGATAAAAGTTACAATCAGTTTCAAAAGTCCACGAGAATGATAGTACAAGGTCACTGATGAAAGCATTATCAAGTAAAATCTTTATTCAATTAACTTTTGTTGGATACAATAGTTGAGAAATGAATATTCTAGCTAAAGGTAGTATACACAGATTGAAAATGAACAATCAAGATTAATTAAAATATACATTAACGGTAACATAAGTAAACGTACCAAGAATAATTAAAAATTCATTAAACCGTGCAGTCAAGATGATTGCTATAAGAAAAGTCCTAATCACTGAACCATTTATTAAATATGGAATAACTGAATTCCGTTGAACTATTTAACATGATTTTGAAATGAGAGAAATGGGTCAGAGACTGATCTCACTTAGTATATCACTCAATCCAAAGAAATACTAACTGGGCTGTTTCGTTCTAGTACAAGGTATCTTTACATCTCCGTTAGTTAATGGTGAACATTACCTAAAACAAAGACAAATTTCCATAAAACTCGTTGATAAGCACTACATTTGTGTGATCATTTATGATCCGTTTTGAGATTTGTTGCTTGAATTGTAGTGAGAAGTAATCGCCATTGGAGTTCAGACATTCTACAAAAGCATTGAGCATCCCCAAAGCTGATATATTTTAGAAATGTGCTCGGTCAAATCCCAAACAAATAGTAATTCTAGCTGTTAAGATTTCACCAAGAGACTGTATTATTCGATCCGTGGTAGCGTAGTGGTTGCGAGCTAATGAAAAGTCATAAACTAGTGCAAAAGTGTTATCCACAGCTCCGAGCTTTTCAACAGTATCACAACTAAGATCAATATATAACAAATGTCACCTACAATCTGAAATAATTATTACATATCAGTATCCACCTGAAGGTGTTAACACTCGAAAAATTACAAGCATCATCAGGAACAAATGCAAATAAATAGACTAGTCATAGCATTCTAGATGATATCAAATCAAGTTGGAAATTCACTCAAATCATGCAAATATTTCTGAAGAAATACTTCAAATCAAAATCAGTTCACAACAGTAAAAATAATGAATAGCTGAAAAAATGAATTTATTATTAGAATTACCTGTTAACGGCTTGTTGATATGCAATCACAATTATTTGCCAATTATTGACAACCATTAAATCCCATAAAAGTACAAGGCTAGCCTTAAAATGATCAAAATCATAAAAAATCTAATAAAAGACAGCTAAATAAAAGTGTATTATCTGGTGATTACAGCAATGGATAATAAGAAAAATAAACTTAATACATATGTAGGTTAGCATTTATTGAAAGGTTGATTGGAAATCTACATGGTAAATAATTCCGCTCAGTCAGTCAGTCAGTCAGTTTATGTTGCCGTACCACATTAGTACACAGATGCAATTATCAATTCAAATCCTGTAGCAGTAGAGTTAATAAAAGAGTTAGCAACAATAACCAAGATTAGGGTCAGAAGATATTATTCAAGACGTAGAATCTAATGGCATAAAAAGAAAGATAAAGGTGATGAGGAATTCAGAAGATTAGGATTTGAAAGGAAACAAAGAATGAATGTAACTGCGCCATTTTGAGCCATGTCACTCGAGGTCTCTAACCATCGATTAATATCATCTCTCGGACCCCAACAAAGCAATCATCGCCTACCACTTCATGGATTTAAGCCACGTTTTGGTTTGGTTGCCCCTAGCTTTCTTCCATCTTACGACCACACCACAAAACATCGCTCGTCAAGGCAGTCAGCGGTTCGGCCTTCGTAACACATGTCCCAACCACATCAACTAATTAAGTCTCGCTACTTCATCAGCTGATCTGTCATCCTTACCTAGCACTCGTTTCCCAACGACAGTATTGCTTACTAGGTTGTCCCAGGATATACGAACAATGCTCCAAAGATATCTATAATCGAATACTAATAACCTACGAATATTATCAACTCTTGCCGGCCATGTTTCATAGTCATAAAATAGGACGGAGCAAACGGCTGCGTAGTAGACTCGTTCTTTGGTCAGCAGACGAATATCTCGCCTGCGCCATAGGTGACTCCAGTTGGCAAACGCCAAACGAGCTTTCTGTATCCGTGCTGAGATTTCATCACACATCAGTCCATCAGCACTGAAGAGACCCCTCAGAAAAGTGGGGCGGTCGATACGCCTGACTACTTCACTCCATATCACTAGTTCAGGTGTCAGTATAACCTTTTGCATTTCGACGGTGAAAACCGCATTCGGAGCATGCCCTCATTGTTGCTTAGGGTGGTCAGAAGACTCAGCATTTTTTCAGCGTCTTCACAGAAGAGAACTATGTCATCAGCATATTTTAGATGACAAGCGAGTCTACTGGTAGAGATCAGGACGAAGATAATGTTAACACCTAAAGCATATCTACGACAGAGCAGCAGAAGAATGAAGAGAGTGATTAGTCCTGATGGACACCGTCTGAAGTAATGAATTCCGATAACAGTTAGCCACAAGCTCTCACTCGACCAATGGTATTCGAGTAGAGAGCTTATATAGGGTTAATGTGCTTCTTTGGTCCACCTTTTAACGACAGACACTGCCACACAACCTCACGATCAACAGAGTCGAACGCCGCCTTAATGTCGATAAATACTACTAGTGTCGGACGTCTGAATATATGTTCTTGTTCTAGGACCTGACGTAGTGTGAATATCTGGTTTGTACATCCTCGTCCAGGTCGAAAACCAGCCTGGTTTTCTCAAGTCTGCTCTTCATGAGCTATAGATAGGCGTCTAAGAATTATCGAGGCTAATAATTTAGCCACTATATCACTAAGATTGAGGACTTTTAACCTATTTTGAATACTGGGACAGTCAGTCCAGTTTCGAGATCCTACCTAAGATCTCAGTCAGTGTAAGTGCTAAAACCAAACCATCATCCTTAAGATTCTCGGGCGTAAAACTGTCAGGCTATGTTGCTTTCCATCGCTTTAGTTTTCCTATGGATTTTTCAGCTTCATTAATATTCGGAGGACTTACATCAGTTCGCCATTCAGGTTGACTGTTGCTGAAAGCCAGTTGAACTGATCCCTAAAGTGTTTTTCCCATTCTCCTGGATTGAGAATGAATGATCCGATCATGCTTTTCCGAGGTGGTCTCTCTAATAGTTGGATTTCTAACACTGGTTTCCTTGATAACTCTGAATACTTGACTTCTGTTGCCTATTTCCGCTGCCCTTTTCATCTCTCTTGCTTTCATTGCGTAGACATACTATCAGTCGGCGCTTAAGCTTACTCTGCTCTTTGCTATGTTCAGAACCTGACGGGATGAGTTCCCAAGTATCTATCAGTTTGGTAGATACTACTGAGATCCACCGTTTCTCCTTAACCTTACGTTTTACTATACTAGAAGATATCACTGATGTTTCTCTTGGTTTTTGTATATCATTCCAAGTTGCCTCAGAGTATGCATCACTTACATTTCCTTCCAACTGATTTTACAGTTGTTACTGAAATATATTCTTAATTATGTTATCATTAAGTAGAAGCTTAAGAGGTTTCATTGTGGTGTCTTTCCTACGTTTTGCTTGTTCTGCCATAGGACTTAATACTATACCTACACTGGAAAGTCAACGGGAGGCAGCAGTTTGGCACCCAGATTCAGGAAGCGTGAATCAAGGTTATTCTCTTTCTGGACAAGATGGAATCAAGTTCAGGATTTTGCTTGAATCCTGCATGCACGTTTTGGAGACTCAGTACGATGGTCAGTACGATAGGCGAGCTCGACTACCACGACAAGGTATCAGCTACAGTCAGGATAATTCCATTCAATCAAGTTACATCCTAAGTAATCCAAATTAAGTTTAGCTTCTATACATCTTCGTTTTTTAACTAACTTACATTCAGAGCCTGTGCAACTAAAAAGAATCAATACCGAAATGTGCAAATTATCATGTCGTATTCTGATAATAATATCTTGCTACTGAAGGTTTGGATTACTGTATCACTGTTGAAAAACCGTAGATGTAATTTTCATCATGAAACGAAAAATAATTACTCTTGTCTCTCACTAAGTAGAACGCATTAAAAGGTCAGATATTTGTTTAGTGAGATACTAATTAAATGAATTGAACATCTTTGGTACTTTGATTCTTCAATAATCCTGTTTTACGAGGAGTAACCTTTAAAGACGAGAAAATTTCATATCAATATACGACTTAACAGAATGTTTAGAAATTCGTCGAAAAGAGATCCCTTAGTTGAGCTCACTGAGTTTAAACGGTATACACTTAGTCGCTAAAATTAAATTTGTCACAACAAGCGAGTTAACAACGATACAACTTATTTTTTATCAATTAGTAACAATCATATATTGGGAACTAAATTCACTGATTCGACAAGTCAATAATTTTATTATTAATGAACAAAAAATATCGATAGTTATCATATAATTAACATGGACAATGTGAATTTTAAATATACAACCAATTCACCAAAACCAAAAGTGAAAACTGAAGTCTATTTCGCTATCGACTAATAAGTAGAATTACCCGTCTATATATGTATATATATATTTTTAAACAATGTTAGGATATTTCCTATAATCAACAAACAGTATTCTCATTTGGTAACTGTTATATGGCTTATTGTCACTGCAAATTTCAGGGTTTGAAAAAATTTATCTCACATTAAAACACAGATTTATGAAAGGCGAATATTCCTTTCAATAAATTTACTTCGAGTTCTATAGTTACATATCCAAATAAATCAGTCAGTAGGCTCAACAGTGAACAGCACAATTTTAAGTCAATGAATAAATTCATAGCTTCTATGATTCTTCAGTTAACACAACGTATCCATGGTAGATTAAACTCAATAACTGGAATGTTATACCTATGTATATATGCAGAAAATTACAACCATCAAAAATGAAATCGTTTGAATGATCCTGAGTATAAGAAAAACTAAAAGTAACAAATGTTGAAATGACTTACAGCAAAATCATTAAAATTTATAGACCAGTATTGCAGTTCTTGGTACGTTCCACACGGATAGGGTTCTCTAACATCAGGCAAAGTTTATAAAAATGTGTTTTCAATACATGGTTACATAGTTTAATAGTTTTAAACATATTTGTAAAAATGAATTTACCATAAGTATAAGATGATTAGTTACAGAAACCATGATTAAGGTTAATTACAACAGAAGCATAAACTTCGTGAATGTACCATTCTCAGAGCTGTCTACAAGTGTTTCGTAGATTATAGTGGTAAGTCAACTGACCTCATTTCATGATGCAAACGAATTTTAAAAGTATGACGATTTTGTGTCCAACATAGCTTTTAATATATATGATTAGATTTCTTTCAATACATATATTTTTCGAACCGAAAGTAAATATCCATTAATGCTCATAATAATCGTATGTGATTTCTGGTTCATTCATTTTAATAAATCTGCTAGATGACAAATTTTCCAAGTAAATTCCATATAAAACCATGTTTGAATATTGTAGAAATCGCAAAAACTACGAGATACTTGTTGAATTAATACTACTATTTGATAAAACGGTTAAGTTTTAAATCTTACAAAGTAAGTATGTATTATTTTCAACGAATTATGTATTGACAATTTATCGTTCAAATATTTTTTTTATGCTCACATGAAGTGAACAATTATAAAACGTTGTATAGGATTCAAACTAGTAAAAAGGTGATCGATGGATGTAGTCCCACTCTTTTATTCATTCGCATAAAAACACGCTCTACCAGTCAGTCGCATGTCACAATGAACCTGGTATATCTGTGCCCTGGTTGAAGTCACTAGATCGTAATCTGAGCGGTCAAATGAAACTACCTAGACAAACGCCCAAAGTAATTCGTTTTGCAATAGTCTTAGTAGTAGTAAAAAGATCAAACATGCGTAAAATGATTCTAGAAGATAATGAAGATTCGTATAATAGAAATGTATCAGACAATTTTGAAACGGATGGCTATTTATTATTATTATTATTATTATTATTATTATTATTAGTAGTAGTAGTAGTAGTAGACTTCACTTCTGTACCGTATTTTTTTCATAGACAATAAAATTAGATTTGAATGTATCATATTTAATTTTTTATAATTTTTTTAATAAAACGCAGCAGCCGTTTTAATGCTTAATATTAATAATATCATAGATTACGTAACCAGTGAGTATTCAATTATTGACGTAGACATGATGACATGTGGCTGTATTTTTTGTTGTTAATGGTATATTCAACAAACTGCTTTATAATATTCTATCCGGTGTTTATTTTTTTTTTTGTGTAGACACATAAATTTCAACATTTTTGATTATATTACCCAGCACGTTATGAATAAACTGAAATGTATTAATTTCAATCGGTTTCAAAATAGAACCTCGGCCGATTTCAAATACTGATATATAAAATCTATTGTACTATTATCATACTTTATTTATTATAACATTATCTAGTATATTGTAAAAAGTCTTCAACATAAACTTCTACTACAGTAAATATTTTATTTAGGTTTATCAAATAGCTGAAAATTGAATGAAAACCATTTGAAGTCGCATTTGAAATGCAAAACGTACAAAACACATGTTAAAATTTTCTTTACAACAGTGATAAACAGTTACATATATAAATCGAATCCTATAGTTTTACCACAAGATGTACCTTGATACTGTTTTCGTTTTAGTATATATATATATATATTCATAGATTCTTATTCACTCTAGCTTCTTACATCTAGATATACGTCCCTACTAACCTAAATAAGGAGAATGGTGTTCGATTAGTAACATAGCAGTAACCAGTTACTTGTAGGATTGGACAACTTTAGCTGTAAACATATTTGTAATGAATTCAAGAAGTTTATCACACCATAGCATAGTCTTGGAAATTTCCTGTGAATTAGTTGTCCTGCATCTAATGCCATGTTAGCAGAAGTGTAACTGTTTAAACAAAAACAAAATTTCCTTTTAACATTTTGTTAGCTTTTGGTGTTATTCACTATGTAGTACCTCAGACAAAGAGATTAGGAGATATTTTGTCAGAATTCCAATTTCAAATTGAATGGTGATGTATTATCAGTGAGTAAAATTAAGCATTCCACAAATAAATGTACAACTTTATAAAAGTAAACAATTTTCGTCGTTGGAAATAATCTGGTGGAGAAAAAGTACAAATGTTGATCATTTATCTCCTAATTAATCGATCTATGTCTGCATTGAGAAATCTGTATGCTGCAGTCGCATATTTCACTTGAACTAAAATCACACAACACTTGTAAGCACTAATCATGCTTTCCGTTGTTCATAAGCTTTGGAAATAAAGGCTTCCGTGGCGTACCAAAGGACTGAAAACACAGTATCGGAAATGTGACATTTGTTTTCAGTAGGTTAGGAGCATAAAAACGTATAAAATATACGTATTCAAAATTAAGAAAAGTGCTTAAAGTAAACATTATTATTGCAATACTTACGGATTTGATGAATTTGTGGAATTTCGATATTTAATGACATCATGGAATAAATTCATACCCAATAATGCATAAAAGTAAAATGCTGATATGAGTATTCCGAGAACAGGGGTTAGATTACTTGGAAGATCAGCTAAAACGCTAACAACTAATCGTGTCCAAGGAAACAAAACAATTAATCTAGTAGTACGTGTTAATAGGAGGACATTACTTAGACGAACAACATTCCATATTGTCATTCTGAATTGTGAAATGTGTTCCATTCTTAATTTAAAAACAAAACAAACAAATAAGAGATGAAACATGACTATTTTTCATTAAGCGAAGTGAAAAATTTAAAAATTAAATACATAGTTTTACAAATAATTTAAAATTCTAATTTCATAAAACTTTCTATTAAATTTTCTGTTGAAATTTTTTAACAGAATTAACTAGAATATCCCATCAACAGTAGGATTCAAATACATCCTGATGAACTGTACTAAATAGGATAAAACACATGTTCTGAACCTCGCTGTTATCCGTTATCCAAATTTATTTAAATCTTGCATAAATATGATCGCACTTAATAGATTGTAGTATTACTTCTTGCCCAAAGGTGAATACAATGTAGCATATAAATCCCCTGTTAGTTAATGTATGATAAATGAATGTGAATTATCTGTTGTTAATTAACAATTTACTTCTATTATGAATGCGACAGAAAGAACTGAGCAGTCAGGATCTAGACTCAATAATCGATTTTTACATGATGAAGATATTTTGTATTCATCAATGGCAGCGGTAACTAGATTGAGGAAATTATCATAGGAAGTTGTTAAAATTAAGTGGTCATCTTCTGTGAATGAATATAACAAGACTTTTAAAGTAAATGCTTAGTGTCCTGTTACTTTGTCTCATCATTCAATCATAAGTGACTTTGATCTGAGTTATGACAGAAACTTACACTATGATAAATAGTACACCTAAAATAACTAGTCACATTTCAAATTACAAGTACATGCTTGAATATCATTTGCAGAAGTAAGTTGAGACAAATAAAAGATTACATAAGATAATATTTAATAGCAAGAAAACAAAATCCACCCTAATGATAGCTTCAATTTTCAGTGTTGCATTTAATCTTAAAGTATATTTCATTACGAAAACATTAAACGTTTTGAAAATATTGCCGATAATGGGAGTCACCTTTTTTTAGATGAGTCTTTGAACAATTTAAGTGAGTTTTAGTAAGTGAGTTTAGTAAATAAACTTATATTTTATGCAATATATTTGAGGTTTACCAGACCTAAATTTTCAGTGATATTGATAAATCTCAGTTCACAAGTTATTCATAACAAATTCAGTGATTTATAATCTCTTTTATTTGATATAAAACAGTAATATATATTTATATATATATTTAAAAAACAACTTACTGACGACTAATAAGTAACAGACTCAATTCGATTAATTTAACAACCTAAAAACAATGAATACGTTTGTTTGATTCAAATTATTTGAAAAAATATGACGAGGTTATCAATTTATAACTGAATATACTTCTAAAATAAGCTGGATTCGTTGATCAAAAGTTCTATTGAAAATCGCAATTTAACAACAAACTGTTGTACTTTACATTCGGAATAAAATCCATATCGATATTGTCTTCAGTAAAAATATTTAAGCTGTCCCATAATCGTCACTGTTAATATGTGTTGATATATGTACCAGTGGAGAAAGATTGGCTATTAAAGAGTTCTCTTTCGAAAATTTCATTCTCAAAACTGTGAAGTCTCAAAATATTTTCGAAATATTAACCTATAATGTTTATTCATTATGATAATAACAATCGTAATAATATTTCTAAACATGGTAATAGAGAGAGAGCTTGAATGTTCACCAGGAAGATAGACAAAGCCTTTTTCCCTGAGAAGAAGCGTTGAATGATCTACTGAGACAAACAATGAGACTGCGTGTAGTCAAAAAGATCACGGAAACAGAAATAATTTTGTTGCGGGTAAAAAGCCAATCAAGAAAAAAGGTTAACGAAGACTAATAGCTTTCGGAATTAAAGTATTAGGATCAGAGCAGGAGCAACATTTGAATAATTTGTTTTGCATGCATAGTTCCAGTCTTTCATAAGGTATGACAAGGGTTTCGGCAATTCCATAAACAGAACTACTAGATAATAAATTCTGCAAGAAAACTATACAATGAATCTATAAGGTTGTATTTCTATATAGAGTGTAATCGCACATAAGCTTGAGCATAATGAGAATGGTTAACAAACCTCCGCAGAGTTCATGATATTTAAACAGATAATTTTTTAAATCAAAATTTGCATGGAATACCGTAACATGTTATCTAATATAACGCAGTGTCAGCTTGTGTTTAGAATTATTTCTTTGATAAATTGCACCAGTCACATAGAACTCGTTTGGTGATTAGAGGAGTAGCTTTACTGGAATAGAAGAATAAAATTCTGTCAGCACGCAGAACTATATTATTCACCAGTAAATAATAAACTGGCGTGTGCTCTAAAAATGAATAGAGATCTGTTACGGTACAATAGCTCAGTGATGAATGTAACAATAAATCGGGTTCAAACCTCACACGGATCATTGGTATCGTAAATATCGTACACACGGCTTGGTGAGGTCTTGATGAGTTGTCTCAAAAACGATCGCATACAATGCAACTTGACCAGTAGGATTCAGTCAGCATTAAGAAATCATCTATATCATAGTGTCGATTATTCAGAAGTTAATTAGTTTAGACATATTTCGATATTTATCATTATTAATAATTATGAGTGCATAACGATAGCATAAATATTCAAGTTTAATAATAAGACACAACAAAAATTCTGATAACTTACAAGTATTACAGAGACTATAAATAGTCCAAATATATTGGATTTTTTTGAAAAAAATGCTTTCTGACCATAAGCCCAGAGGAAAGAAATTTGTTCAAATACATAAAATATTGTGAAGCCCCAGCTTATTATCTATAAAGTTAACAGAAATTTATGAAGAATTGTGATGGTGTATAAATGTGGTGCAGTTTCTTTCTCTGAGCTTCAGACAGAAGTTTGGGCTGATAATGTTGTTCAGGAGAACTATGAAAGCTCCACAGTCGAAACATACAGCTCAGAGAACGAGACTTCACCAATATGAATAATTGTGTTTCTAATAAAGATAGGTTTGATCAATATAGTGATAATATAATCTTATTTTGTTGATAAACAACTGAACATCTAATAATAAGACCATTATGGTTCCTAATACCCAGTCTGTTATTCAGTCTCAGTTTTTAACGATCTGGATTTAAAACAAAAAGATACGTCTAACTAGCCAATTATTGACAGTTACCGGTGTTTTGGTGAGAGTAACATTCTACTAATTACATAAGAGTTTAATTTTGATCTCATACTTTGTACCAAAGGAATAGTTTAGATTTATATTGATTGATCACACAGTAGTAACCAATGTTTTGTTTGTCTGATCGTCCCGTTTTCCTCAAACTCCCGCTATCAGTTCGCAATGTGTTCAGTGGAATAAGTAATTTTATGACGCATGTAGTAATTCTAGGCACAGATGGTTAAAAATAGCGGAAAGGAGTTCACGGAAAAAACTTCTTGATGAAACTCCATAACTCGGTTAGAACAAGTTGCCTCGTTACAGAGTTGTCTGGAAAACTGATTATTAGAAGGCATAACCGTTTATTACCATTCACATAATTAAAGCTCAGCTGGTACTATTATTTCACGTCTACATGAGTTATTCTAGCTTTTGGACAAGCAGTTAATTGATTCTTCTCAAGTTGTCATCGCTTGTAACTTTGACTGTTTTTACTTGAATGCATGTAGGTGTATCACCTACTCCACTCATCGCATGTATTTTGCTTATATTTGTCAGCCTATGAATGGTGATTAACGCTTTTTTGGATAGAGTTTTTGCGATTGTCTTTCCCACTTCGCCTGATTTTCGGCTTCTTATTTTAGTGTCCGTTTGGATAAGCGGTTTCATTAAATAAATTCATCCAAGTTAATCAATTTCTGGGTTCTTACTGCCACTGTAGCATATATGGGGTTAGTCCAAGTGTAAAACAAGGAGTTAAACGGAAGATTTATGTTCTGGGCATATGCATTCGTTCATCCAAATCAAAGTTCCATTTCGAACTACGGAAATAGTTTCCAAGTAAATCTACAGTGATTTCCATAAGTATGCAGTAATATACCTTTTAGAGCCAGGCTAACTGTTAAGAATATGAGTATCTATTTTACTTCAGTAGTTGATACAAATCTTTTATAATTTCCAACTTAGTTGACCTAATCACAGATAACATTTATTCAGAATCTCAATTTATTTATTTCTAGTCAAATCATTTTGAATAACACGATTATCTGTTAGTTAAGTAATTAATAAAATTATGTGACTGACAGTGTCTTCATTGATTTCCATTTATCGCCTGAGATATTTTGATTGATATTGCTCTTCTGAAGGAAGTTAAGTTAAACTACAGACGGTGAACTTATTAAGCTTCAACCATAAATTCTTAACTGATTAAAACTAAGACACTAATTATCATGAGATACCTATTAAATTCAAGCATAAAACATCTTTGTTACTTATTTTCCAAAAAGCTAATTTACTGACCATACATCTCTAAGAAACCATTTTATTTGTAGACTACAATAAAACATAAAGATAAATTTAAGTGTACTTTTATGTGTTCTAGTGATAGTATTTTCTAACCATGATGAGTATTCCGTTGAAGGTGATAAACCAACAACAAAACAATACTCTGAAACGCATGAAAATATGCACAAATCATCAGTAATTTAAAATAAGTATACAAAACCTGATGATTCAGAAATAGTGTCGGATAATCTACATTTATTTCACTACATGTTCAATAAATCTTTAACAAGCCATGGTGATTTCTGATCACCCTATAATGTTAGATTACGAAGCTTAGTATTTTAAAGAACAATGAATGTTGTTCTGGAGGTCATTTCATATTGATCGGAACAACTTTCACCTTTCAGGTGAAACAAAAAATTTTAAAAACAGTTAAGATTATTTCAAATCAAATTTTGGAGGAAATTTGTTAATAAATCATCAAGTCCAAGGTTAAAGTTAACATCAAAATATCCGTCAACTGTCTTTTAATCTACAATGCAAAATCCCTGCTGTAGATTATTTATTAGCAATAATCAGACTTCATTCTATCAAGATAAGCCTCTGAATTTGCCAGAGTATGTCACTACGTATTAGATAAGAGACAAATTAGGCAATCACTGAATTAGATAGTACAGGAAAAACAAAACTGATCAAACAATAACAGAATGTGAATCTTACACGCATTACAACTCCTGGATACTTTCCGGTTGATAGACTATAAGAAATATCCACCTAAAATATAGTTTAACCGTATTTAATTTATCAAAATTATAAATTACAATTTATTGAAGTTTAAAGAATGTATATATAGTATAGTATTATTGGAAAGATGCATTATTCATGAAAGGAGAAATATCGGTATGAAATTAATTGTTAATAATCATGTGATATGACACAATTAAAATTAATTTACAACAAGTAGATAGTGGTTAGAATCATTTTATCAACCAACAAACAGATTAATGAAACAGTTTTAAAGCACTGAAAAGTTTATTTTAACTGAGGCTGTATATTCAATGCATGAAATATTACTAGATTACATTTAAATTATAACCAGACACTTAATATGTACATAAACTCAGTTATGTAAACAAAATGTGGATCAATTTAATTCAGGGTCATTCTCACAAATGTCAGTTATCAAGAGTTAGATAACTTAATGTTAAATAATGATGAAAAATATGTAGTAGACAAATTGGATGAACAAAATAAATGGCATCAATTGCATCAGTAACCACACTAGATAAATAGAATATTCCCTTTCCTTATGCGTAAGCGAATATACTCTACTGGTAGCGTAAGGGTGCCATATGCCTTTCCTTACATTGATAAATGGAGCTGTTTGCAGCCATATTGTTTGATCGAAAACAAGCTGAGAAGGGATAAGCAGTTAGTTAACACAATCTACCAACCAAAATATGTACACCTTATCATTAAATGGCCATCTGCAAAGCAAGCGTGTTCTTAGTTGTCTTCTCCTACATGCCTTCTGTCCCTCCAAACACCCATACTGTGTCATAAATTTGGACCTAACAAACTGCTGCAGCCGTAATTTCAGAGTGACACTACGATTCGCACCCATACAAGCTACTAATAAGCTCTACCGTAAGTAGTGAACACCACAATATAGTTATAAAAATATCAAGGTTTGGACTGAGATTTAACATTCAAATCAGTCTGCAACCAATGGATGGTCATACATCAGGCTACCAAAACTGCCTATGAGAAAACAAGGACATAATCAGATACTGAACTCCATAGAGAGCCGGTCAGAAATATGGTCACTGACTTAGTGTTTGTTAATCAATAAAATAGTTCATTTGCGTTTGAAGTTGGTACAATGATTATGATCACAGAAAGAATAGAAACTTTGTAATCAAATTATCCAGTCTGAAACTTTCAACACTACTGGCATACTTTCTTCATCAAGTTTTTGACTACTTTTTTCTAACTGGTCATTGCATCACTTATTTCAGCAAAACTATTCTATAAATTGTATATCGTATTTTGCGATAATATTCATTTACTGATGACAAGCAATTTTCCTAATACAGACTACAACTGTTTCACTTGGATAGACTAATTATATCTTAAATTTTGAAACTAAACGCGTATCTGCAATCCAGCCCGTATAATTCCAGTTAATAGGTTTATCATTTCATAATTAAGGGTTGAAAAATCTATAACATAATCTATCTATACACAATGTGTTTACACCAACAGCGAATTTTTTTTGTGCTAACTAATAATCACATCTCAAAAGTAACAGATAATAATAAGTTTACTGAAATGTTTACATTCTAGACGTTATGATTTTTAATTTTAGCTTCATTTATACAATATCTATTTGAAGTTTTTATTTTAAACAGACACAATGGTAACCACCCAATAAGTGGTTGACAATATTACAAAACTGAAATCATAATGTATTGTAATCGACTACAGCAAGATAGTCTGTTCACTTGTAAGTATAGCATAGAATCCCGTGATACGCTGTGATCACACTCTCTGTAAATATTTACTAATGGCATCTTAATTAAACCAGTCAAGTAATAGAGGTGGGGCTTCGAAAATGATTAGTGGATCAATGACATCTTTGCGGAACAAAATTACAGATAAGCACATTCCTACCTAATACTCAAAACCCTTACTCACGATCTAATTATGTTATTAATTATTAGAGAAGTATTAGTTCAAATTTACACTTTTTAACTTACACATAAAAATATCACATTGAAAAGTGATATTATAATCCGAACCAGCTCAAATCCTTTAGACATAATCCATGTTTGAAATATACGAGCCACTCTAAGAGATGGTATCTGCTCGGGTATTGACTGAATAAAATATGTAACAAAATTTCTTAAAAATCGTCAATACTAAATTCATTCAAAAATAACTAGATTTATTTGTTAACATAACTTAAATAACACGCTTTCTCATAACGTTTTGATAAGTTCCATTGTTAGGAAAAGATGTAAACAATTTCCGAAGTATGTCAAATAAAATTGATCATTTATTAAATAAGTTTTATTTACACATACTCATAATTAGTTACAGAATCGAGTTTAATTATCATTTGTATCACCTAGAAACTGCTGTGATTTCTTATCCATTCACTGATCATGCAAAGAGACTTTATATATACATATATATACATATCAAGAATTTGTCTACTAAACCTAATAAAAGATGAATTATTCACTTAAGGATCGGGCTTTCTTAAAAATGAATGCTAATAGAGGTTTGAGGTGAAATATTTGAAGGAGAATTCACAAACTAAATCCAATAATAACGCTAAGAGTTGTCTGTAAATCTACATTTCAAGGAAGGTATTGCTGGTGATATACCAAATAGTCATTTGCAGGAATCAGTTAAAGAGACATCTAACATACTGAGCATTTGAAAAAACCAGGGTCAATCTCTTACATATCCCTGTGTAAAAAATAAGTTGCCAACACTAAGAAACTCAAGGTGTGTTTACCGCTTTCACTGGGAGAGGAACGTGAGTCATTCATCAAGTCCACTTATTTAAGATGAGGTATTATCAAAATTAATCATAAGTCAATGATATAGAACATCGAGCCTCAAACGCAGAACTTAAACAAGTCAAATAAACCAATGTACTTACCCTGACCTGCTTTGTTCTGCAAAAGCTTCAGCTCTCCTCAATTTACTACATGAAGTGTATATGTAAAAATAAGCATAACTCCGCCTGGGACCCCTCTAGGGCTACTGACGGATTTGACTATTCTGATGGGAGACCTAAATGCCAAGGTTGATATGGATAACACTGGATATGAAGACATCATAGGACGGCATGAACCGGGAGAAAGTAACGAAAATGGTGAGAGATTTGCAAACCTATGTGCCTTCAACAAACTGGCGATCGGCGGAACGACACTCATACACAAACACAGACACAAAGCAACATGGATTTCATCGGATCATACTACACAGAAGCAAATCGACCATATCTGTAACATTGAAAAGTTCAGAATGACCATGGACGAAGTGAGAACCAAGAGAGGAGCTGACATAACCTCAGATCACCACTTGTTGGTCACCAAAATTAAAATGAAACTCAAGAAACACTCGACAATGGGGTGAACAACATCACAAAAGTTTAATACGTCCTTTCTTCGAAATACTGGAAAACTCAACGAATTCAAGAAAACACTCAGCAATCGGTTACAGGCATTGCACGATCTACTCAATGGAAAGGAAACTACCATGGAGAACGATTGAAACTGGATCAAAGGGGCAACCACTTCAACACGTCAGGAGGTTCTGGGACACACGATGTGCCATCTCAAGGAATGGATCTCTGTTGGTATTCTTGAAAAAATTGAAGTAAGGAGGAACAAGAAGGCAGCAATCAACATCAGCCGAACAAGAGCGGAGAAAGCCAAGGCACATGCTGAATCCACAAAAGTAAACAAGCAAGTGAAGAGGCGCATCAAAGTCGACAAACGAAAATATGTGGAAGATCTAGCAATGAAGGTGGAAAAGTATTCAAGAGTAGAAAACATGAGACAACTGTACGATACAACAAAGAAGCTCGCTGCAAACTATCGTAAACCAGAACGACCAGTGAGAAACAAGAACAGCACAGTAATCTGCAACATTGAAGAACAGCAAAACAGGTGGGTAGAGCACTTTGAGTAACTCTTGAATCGACCAGCCCGATTGAACACATCCAACATCGAAGCAGCATCCACGGACCTCACAACTGATGTTGTAGAGAGGCCATCAGACAAATCAGGAGTGGCGAAGCAGCGGGACCAGACAACGTTCCAGTAGAGGCGATGGAAGCAGACGTGGCAGCGACTACAAACAAACTTCGAGATCAACAGGGCGGATTCCCTAAACATCTATCGTGTTCTGATCAAATTGCAACATTATGGATCATTGTGGAACAATCAAATGAATGAAACTCACCACTCTACATCAACTTCATTGACTATGAGAAAGCGTTTGGTAGCGTGGGCAGGACAACACTATCGAGGCTTCTTTGACACTATGGCGTGTCTGAGAAGATATTCAACATCATACTGAATTCTTATGATGGATTAAAATGCAAAGTCGTGCACGGAGGACAGCTGGCAGATTCTTTCGAGGTGAAGGCCGTTTTATGACGAGGTTGAATACGCTCACCCTTTCTCCTTCCCATGGTGATCGAGTGATTCATGAAGACGTCAGCATCTGGAGAGAAACATGCCATAAAGCGGACAGCGAGGATGCAGCTGGACGATCTGGACTACGCAAATGAGCTGGCTCTTTTATCTCACACGCAACAACAAATGCAACAGAAGACGATCAGTGGAGCAGCAGGTCTCAAAATACACTAAGCAAAATACTCTGATACAACACAACATGCGACAACGAAATCAAACTTGATACAGATGGCTCGGAGGATGTAAAAACCTTCACATATCTGGGCCACTTCATTGACGAGCAAAGTAGATCTGATGCAGATGTGAATGCGCAGATCTGCAAAGCAAGGGCTGCATTTCTACAATTGAACAACATCTGGGACTTCAAACAACTTTCAACCAACACCAAAATCAGAATTTTCGATAAAAATATCAAGGCAGTTATATTGTATGGAACGGAAACTTGGAGAATTACGAAAGCCATCATCCAGAAGATACAAATACTCATAACGAGTTGTCAAAGCAAAATACTTCGGATCCGTCGTCTAGACACCATCAGCAACAATCTACTGTGGGAAAGAAGAAACCAGATCCCAGTGGAGGGGCAAATCAGGAAGAAGCGCTGGAAGTGGATAGGACACACACTGCGAAAAGCACCCAACTGTGTCACAAAACAAGCCTTCATTTGGAACCTTGAAGGTCAAAGGTAAAGAGGAAGGCCAAGAAACACAGGAGTAAGTAAAGTAAGTAAGTCGTTTTAGCATAGTTTTAATTATATTTAATTGATCTCTCTTCTTGATTTTGTCATGTCTGTCTTGATTAAAATAATTTTAATTTTTATATTTGATTCTTATCACCATTATTCTTACTGGTAGTAGTAGTAGTAGTAGTAGTGGTGGTAGTGGTAGTAGTCGTGCCAAGATTTTCTGATTACCGTTCGCTTATTTGATTTTAATGCAACGATACCACAATTACACTTTCCACCCAATGGTTTATTTATTTATCTAGTCTCATAATTCCTTCTTCAATAACTTTAAAAAATTTACAATCACAAAATCAAGTTGCATAATATTACCAAATCAAGTTTTAGCAGACATGCGATCATTTATTGACCTTTGGTTTATCACATATATAGAAAACCGGATAGCTCTGAAATTAAACTCGACGAAGATCTCACTGCAGAAACATTTTACGATTTAGTGGATGAATATATATATATATATAAATATATATATATATATATCTTTAAGTTGATCTTTGTGTTCATAATTTATCTACAGGAAATATCAAGAAATATTTAAATAATCATTCATTATGTGGACAGTTTTTGAAGTAATCTTACCTGACTAGGTGGACCTGATAAATCCAGTATTTGAAATAACTGCATAAATTGTTTTGCATTGATATTTGCATGGCTATGTCTCATGAAATATGCCTTATAAGGATAGAAAATATGATAGGAATTGTAGTGAAATGGAAGCAGAAATAATACTATTAGTGCGGAGTTGTGAAGAATATTGAGTTATTTCGAAATTATGAAGCGATCAATGTTAGAACACAAATGACATCGATGAAACTGGACAATCTTCACAACTCCATCATGACAATTATCATGAGCTCACTAATGTCTAGCTTCCTGGGAAAATTCTCGAAGTTCTAGTGAGTAGTCGTGACCAGTGGAGTTTAACAGTATTGAGTATGAGAAAGTTACCCACGGAAGACGGTGGGTCACACTGGGCAATATTATGGGTTGGTCGAAGTTAGACACTAAAACCGTAGGATGGTACCTCAGCGGTATAGAGATTGAAAGTTCATGCGCAAGACTGAGGGCCCTTGGTTCGATTGTCACTAGCGGGGTTCGCGGATGATCACTGCTGATGACTCTCATAGAAGGACGAAATGACCCTTCAGAGCTTTCATATTTCCGATGATGGCCTAACACTTATGAGTTCATGATTCAAAAGAATATCTTTAGCTCACAAAACATTTCTCATAACAGTACATATGCAAATAATGGTTTCAGCCTGAATATAGATGAGCAGGAGTATTCGTTGCCTATTCTACAATGCATATTATATTGTAGACTCATGATATTACACGTTAAATAGATCGCAAAAGTATTGACATGATCACTGTTTCAAAGCTCTGAAATATTTTTGCACAAGGACTACGGTATACTCACATTTGAAAAAAAAATTCAACGCTTTGCTTATAGACTCGTGAACTCGGCTTTAAACTACATATTATGCGTGAGACTTAACTTTGGCATTCGGTTGCCCAAATCAAAATAGATACATCTGTACTCAAACCAGTGACTTAGTGGAAAATTTTAAGCACGATGTATTTGTTCCGAAGTTTAAATAAAGGCATTTTGCGTATTATTAGATACTGTGTCGAACGTTTACAAAACGTTATCTATCTAGTTCAACACAATCATAAATAATATATAGATTTTATTGTAATTGTGACTATAGAGTTAGGTGATTTATACTGTTTTCATGGCAACAATGATATCTTTCTCTTGAGCTAATGGTCCTCGCTGTTAACGCCGCTTCTGACACATTGAGATTTCGAATGTATCAGTAATTAGGGTTGAGTGTCTTGTTTATTCTACTGTTTAAATGTGGTAGTTAAGAAGACGAAGCAAGTTTACAAAACAAATTAAGATTTCCAAGATAAGATTGTTTTGTTAATCAATTGTTGGATAAAGTATATAAATCATTTAATCACTTGATCAAATTCAAACATTTTGTTATATCTTATTTAGGAATTAATAGAATATATTTTGTATTCACTCAACTTTACTCAATGAGGTCATATAATTTTAATTTTTAAAAACACTAAATAAAATAAATGTATACATTCTAACAAACATGTTAATAGTAACATTTTGACCAAATAACAATTTTTTCTAAAAAAAATCTGATTTTCTTGCTTGATATTAAATTTTATAGGAATAAAGTGAGGTTCTATGTTCTTTCACTATGCGATAACTTTGCTTAGATATCCTAGAGGGCTAATATTGTGTTGATAAATCTCAAAGTATCATTCATTTATCGTTTTAATAAAGATCATATTTATTTACATAGTTGAGTGTTATACTATCAGCCTAACATTACGTTCCTACGCATAAGTATCAGTCAACTGTAACCATATTTAGCTTGCTACATCAAATTATACTTCTCAGTTCATAAGACTGTGCAGCCATTTTAAAAAAGTACAACAAACCATCTTATCTTCTATAAATAAATTAACTGACCAAGTAGAGAATACAGAAAGTAGAATCACCAAAAAATGAAAATAATTTAAACGTTTCTTCCAACTAATATTTAAACAAGCTCACTTGACGCAGTGTGTCCTTCTTCCATGTATCTATGTGAACAGTATTGATTAATTGAACTATATCATCACCTGATACTAGCTCCATCCCGCTAAAATAAACCAAAAAGTAACAACATTGAATTTGGTGTTATTATCATGTTCATTTAAAATAATAATAATAATAATAATAATAATAAAGAAAATACGTTTTCTAATGGAAAAGATTGTTCAGTTCACTAATTTATATCAATAGATAATCAGTATAACAGCAGAGAGTAATAGAAACACCATGAAATTATTTGTTACTTTGTTAAAAAGTAAAAACTCCATTTAAAAACTATTTAAGTATATTATTTATAAAAATCAGAAAGCCAACACCCTAGAGCAAAAGTATTCGAAGAAGCATGTACTTAACCTACAAATACCGAAGTCTTACCATTAAGAATGGAAATTCTAATCAAGTTATTCGCCAAGACCTTAAGTTATAAACTATTGTAGAAAACTGCTTGTAAGTAAAAGGATTAATAAAAATGATAATAGTGATATAGATCCAGTGAATGGATGGATGTTTTTTCTTTCCAGAAATTCACTAGTTAGTAAAATAAGAAAAAAGCATCTTCAAGATGTTTACTTTCTTAAAATTTTACAATCAAAAACATCAATAAGTTTCATGATAATAACAAAAAGAAATGAAAATGAACATAGTATCATTGATATGATAAAAATGAAAGTAAAATTATGAAGTAGCACTTTAAAGATCATTGAAAAATACAGTAACAAGTATATAGAATGTTGCAGTTATAAAAACCAGATGTAAATTGGTATAAACTAGGAAAAGAAATTTAATTCAAAAGGATACTAAACAAAAATAAATCTGCCTGCAAAAATGAGATTAGCCGAGATAGAAATTGCTTTGCAAGCTTCGATTTAATGTTAATAGTAACAAGAAGAGATCGAATAAGTTTTTGATACATTTATATCAAGATCCAATACGCATATGGCAAAGGTTTTGGTAGATTGTTATCCACCTTCTACATGATCCTAAATATGCTTGTTTTTCAATAAAAGGTCAATGTTAATAGATATGCTAATAGTTCTTTTCTTTAAAACCCATTGCTACTTTCTTTTACATATTTAGGATTATTTTCTTCAGATGTCTTAGACAGAACTGATGATAATCAGATCATCTGAAGCCATGAATATTCAGTGTAGATTTGATCTTGGGTCGTAACTGAGAGATTAAACATTGTTTATCTGTCACTGTTAAGACAGTTGCTCCATAGGTATTTGAGAACTCTTTTTGAGAGGGGTTTCACTGTTTATTTATTAATATCATCTTTTGTTAAAAATACAATTCAGATGCAATTATCAAAGTAAGATGGAAAACAAAGAACTGTATGATATGAAATTTCATTAAAAGATAAACTGATACTTATTATTTCTATTTGGAATTTCTTGTATACCTCACGCAAACGTTCGTAAGAGTAATAACAAAACATTTTCTATCCGTCAGTCGTTTACTAATGAAAGCTTAATGACACGTCGTACGATTCGTTTTGTTAACATGTTCATTGAAAGTAAAATAGAAGAGTTGAAGATCTGCAGATAGTTTTAAGTTCGCACCAGCAACCTATTCTAGGTGCTCAACTTTTAAAGTCCAAAAAAGGTACTTTTTTCTAGTATGTGACTCTTTGGGAGCAGAACTTTATGACTTCGTGAGCAATTAAACTCAAGATCGTCCGAAATCAGTGGCTTGTGGCCAGAATATGAGTGTACACTGGTGTGGATTTCATACTTCGACAAAAAATCTTCAGTACTCTCTGATTTCAAGTGACTTCTATTTAAAATAACTGTCTGTCGTAAACTGTTTTATTTCGGTCCTGAATTTTCTGAATTTCCAGGTCCATAAAATTTCTACTTCACTTTTCACCTTTATATAATCTAAAAATAAATTTCATTCCTTCAAAAACAATTCATGGCAATCCACCAACACTGAAAATGAACCAGTGCTTTTCTCACTACGATTTTAATTAAAAATTTAAATGAGGTCTTCAAGTTCAGAATAAATTAAAAACATTAAACTAAACATACTAAATATACATTTTCACAAGTAATTTTCAATTATTACAAAAACATTAAACAGTTTCAGTCGTAAAAACATATTTAAGAATAATGTAGTCGTATAAATACTTTTTAACAAACCTTAAGTTTTACTGTGAAAATATTTCCACAGTATGTTTGATTAAGCAATGCATCAAAACATAACATATAATTTATTTGTATATAAATTAACCCTGTACAGTCTTAAAAAATGTATGCTTATTGTATTGATGATGATCAATTTCTCCAAGAAACGCTAACTTTTAAATTACTGAAACTATGAAAAATTTGTAGACAGTCCCTAATTTCTCTTTGCATAAGTTGTGAAAATGATACTCTTAGGAATATGATGGTTATCAATTGGAGGATATCGCCTGTGTAACCGTTTTAAATTGAGTAGAAGTGAATAGCTTTTATGTCCTAGTTTAAGATTTATCAGTAGATCTTATTCACATCAAAGCTGGAGACTGAGTTCATTTTACACAAAGATGGTGCTTTTTTAAATGACTGTGTTATATTTTAATGATCAACATTACCTACTTCAGTCACTTCGTCATGCAGAAGGAACTCCACTTAGTATCTGTCCGTCTTAGAAAATTACTGAACTTTACTGATTACTTTGCACTAAAAATTGCCAATCCAGTCGACAACTGCTGATCAGATGTTGCCCCTTTATTATTTAGTTGAGTTGATCGTAAAGGATGTTCATTACTCCCTGGTCTCCATATGATTTCTGAGCTGTTGTCAATCTACGACGAAAATTATACTCATTGTTTTGTAAAAGAATGATGTGTGGAAATTAAAATATAGGAATATTTTCAAAGAATATCTTGATTCGGAAGAGTTCAAATGTTATGTACCGGTAGTAGCAAAACGTTTGCGAGGAAAAAAGGTGTTGAGTTTGATAGGTATGAAATGTACAATGTAAACACTTTATACTTTGTAAGACACGAATAATAATACTGTAAAATATGTAAAATTAAACTTACTTATATTCATGTTTCAGGATTTCAAAAGCTGCTCTTGTTGCAACACGACGTCTCATCAAACGGGTTTGTACAGAAGACTTTCCATAAGAAGTAACGAGATAAAATTAAAGATAATGATTAAAACTGCATAGCAAATTAATATTTTCATGAGCGGGTTTCAAAACCTTTTAAAGTAAACTGAAGGTAAGCTAGTTAAAAACAGTTTTATGACAGGCAACTGACCGAAATCTCATAATTCGAACAACATTTTTCAATCCTCTTATGATCAAGTATGAAATATAATAAATAGTAAACCTGGATGATATTTAGTTGATTTAGATTTTAGTTAGATTGTTGTTGTTATTCTATCGGATCTCTATTCATTTTATAAAGAAACGTTCCAACTTTTCAAATGGATGATGACTAATGCTTAGTGCGATTACTTCTTAAAGTACTTATTTAAAAAATAAAAACTGGATTTATGTTCAATAAAATAATATCCATTTTTAAATAACGACATTTCATCGATGGTTACCATATATATATATGTGACTGAGCTTAAACTACGTGAATATATTAAAAACTTCTCAATTTATATCATTACTAATATATTTGCTTATTGCATAGGAAAATACTTTATAGATTGAAGTCGAAATACTTACCATCAAATAACCACTGAATTCACTATACACAGCAGCAGTGAGAATATTCAAAAGTACATATATCCCAACACCAAGATAAACAATCGAGAAAAATGCAGTTCCTCTGTTCCCATTATATGACGGAATTAAAACTACAAAGCATAATTAAACATAAAATGAAATTACGACAATAAACGAATATGATGTCAATGAATAGACGAATAAGAAAAACTAACATTTGAACTGACTGAGCATAAATCAAAAATAGAGAATAACGTTAGTGTTTTTGATTGAAACTTGGTAAATAAAGCATAAGATCTTTGCTTAATTCATTGTTAGAAGCTAGTTTATCTGAAACATTTTCTTCAGGTTTGTTCAAAGTGCCATTTAAAAACTTTTAGTAATATTTTCTTTGAAAAAATATTTTACTTCTGTCAGGAAATCAAAAAAAAATAGGACGAAACTTACATACTAAATTCCAGAGCTAGTCACTATCCAACCCTGCTTAAACATGTTTGTGACTTAATGACAATACTGCGGTAATTTACTTGGGATACAAATATCAAAATATACTGATCGACTGCAGACCTTAACATGAATTACGAGGAGATTCAAGCACTTACAAATGAAGTAAATAAAGTGAAACACCAAGTATGACATTAAAAAATATTGTTTGTAGTAATAAATTTTTTTTAGAGAATAGATCTATATACTGAGCTTGGTGAGAATTACTGGAAGGTTTTAAGAAATTTGTGTCATTTTATGGAGGATTACTACAATCAATGAAGAGGGAATATGCGAACAAAGCATGTCATCTGTTTTCCTAACATACTTCAAAATACAAAAATCACTAAACATAGTAACAGTAAAAATATTCAGTATCTGAATACTTATCTAAAATTGTGACTTCTTTTTATTTTGCTTTACTATAAACCTTGTAAAAGATCTTTTTACCGATTACAAATGCTAGTTATTTATTATGCATGAAGAAAAGAGTCATGCCCTATTCACTAAATAATCATGTAAGCAATGCTGTCGTTAAGAAACGAGTACTAGGTAAGGATGGCAGATCAATAGATGAAGTGGTGAAACTTCATCAGTTGAGGTGGTTGGGACATGTGTTACGTATGCCTAACCACCGACTGCCGCGACGAGCTATGTTTTATGGTGTAGGAGTAGGTTGGAAGAAAGTTAGGGGCGGCCAGACCAAAACATGGCACAAATCCATGAAGTCACTGACAAGTGGACTGAGTCATGTTGGTAGATGTAGACTACCTGGTTGGGGTCCGCGAGACGAAAGTCATCAATGGTTAGAGACCTTGAACGACATGGCTCAGAATCGTTTGCAATGGCGCAGGTGCATCCACTCTTTGAGCTCTCTCAAATCCTAATCTTCTGGAATAGCCAGCACCTCTACCTTTGTCTTTCTAACCTTATCTCACTGAATTATATTTCTTGAATAATATCTTCGAACCCTAGTCTTCTTCATTACCATTAATACCTCTACTATCTTTATCACTATGGGATTTGATTTGACATTTGCGTCTCTGTACTAATAATGTGGTATGGCAACATGAACTTATGTACATACGTACGAAGTTCTACGTTGCAACTGACTGACTGACATGTAACTCTTCCATCTTAAATTGAAGCGCACCATAGTAGTTGAATGTAAAGTGAGATAATGAACGATCTTTCCAGGAAACCTTATCGAATTAAAATTATTTATCCAGTTTGCATGTCTTTATTATTACACTTTCATATCACGGAATGGTTCAATTTTCAATAAAACCAAATGGTAACCTCTAAAGCCGTGATATAGTTGTCAAAGGAGCCTATTGATGAGTCTATTTGATTCGATTTTTCCTAATGTTCCTTTATTGATTTTCTAATTTAGCTGAGGTTGTTTTGACTAATATTATCTAGAAATTCCAAAAATAGTTGCTTTTTAAAACTTGAGTGATTTCTTAAGAGTTTTACTTTGATAACCGTCTCAATATTTTATCTTAATGAACCATATTCATCTGATTGAATATTATATAATCAGTTAATAAATTTGTTATAACCAATCCATTTTATTATTTAAGAAAACTTTGTGATGTAAATGAGAATAATGGTTTGTAAACACTATCAAATTATGCATAAACACACGCATAGACCACCATTGTTGAATCTCAATTTCGAAATATTATCTATTTAAAACTATTTCAAATGAAACTAGTGTAATTACAACAACAAAATTAAGGTTTAATTGATGATATTTTGTAGATAAACATTTACTCCTATTCTTAATATTTGTTCACCTCTTCCGTTTAAAAAAGTCAGCAATCTCTTTCTAATGATTTTCTACCTTCTTATAATTCAGATGTTCAAGTATCGAACTACAAGAGTGATTTTAGATAATCATTTACAAATACAATTGAAATAAGTGTATCAAGGTACATTCATTGTAATGCTATAGTTCACTGGTCTTGATTGTAAAATAATAAGAGACTTTGTCGTAAAATTACTTTATCATTTACATTTGTTTCAAAAAGCAGAATCAGTACAAACCGCTGATTTTAACCTAAGGAAGTTGTTAGTATTCATTGAACATACTACTTGTGTATTTCTATTTTTTTAAATAATCAGAATCATTTCTTAAAAAGATTTTAGTATGTAGAAACAAAATAGTTAAGAGTGAAACACATATCATATAAAATATTCTTTTTAAAATCAGTCAACTTACTATCTGGATGATTAGTTGTTGTTAAGAGTACCAAAAGATTGAATAATGTATCATAGAAATCGGTGAATGCAGTGGTTGTAGTATTTACGACCTGAAAAAAATTATCAAATCACTTAAAATGGCTACCAAGAGTGAATAAACGTTAATCAAACTTTTTTGGCATTTGTATAGTTCAGCCCCTGGGGTAATCATTTGCGACACTACAATTTTTAAATTAAAATATTTTTTGACTAAGAATGTAAATAAATTCTGTCTCATAAATTTTTAAATGTAAGTATAAAAGAAACTATTGGTTTATCATTTTAGCAAATACAGCCATTCCTTGTGGGTGATAGACACATGATATTTTAAATATTTACGTGCAAACCTCATTTGAACCACCGAGTGGAACAAATTTGTAAAATAATAATCTTTTAATTTGTCTTTCGTTACCATAATTTCTAACTTTAAAAATAGAAATTAATATTTCATATTGCCTGGACTCGTATTATGCGAATATATACGAAATAATGTGTTCAGTTTCTGTCTCTCTGAAATGTCTCTAAATAAGGTTATTGTTTTCACCCAAATTAAGCCTCACAATATCTATACAAGCTTTCTCAGATTATTGATCAGTTTTCGGTGTAGTTACAAACTAAAAAAGAATCACAAAACATTTAGATTTTTGTGAATCATAGATTGGTCTGCCTATCCCTCTACAGTTCTACCTTCCTTCTGGATAATGAAAAAGGTAATACGTTTACTCTGAAAATCAAATTAGGTAATCAACTAAATCAATGTAATATAAGCAACAAAAAATATGTACAGATTTTTAGATTTTTAAAAAGAAGTATTGTTAACCGTCTGTGTGGAATCGAACCCTGGACATTTCATGGTTAGTTAATTTGTGCCGTATCGTATCTATGTAATCGATCCACGTTTATTACATAACTATATAATTGTTGACATTTTATCGGATGAGATTCAAACATATATTAAACAAAATATAAAGCGTCTTCTGAAGTTTATGATTATTTTTCACATTTATCGTTTTGATAAAAAGAACTAAAAATTCAAAATGTCATTAAAAGACATACCAATGTAACTCACACTATCCTTAGTTAAGTCTCTGTTGGGTTGATTAAAAACGCACATCGCCACTAAAGTAGCCGAAATTAACCAAAATGACAGCAGGAACAAAAGACTTGGATATTTCGATCGAAAAGTTAGTACACAATAGAAATGAATAAAAAAGTAAAAATATTCGATCAAAAATACCATCAGCTCTTTGCAGATAAATCTAAAAAAACTATATTGTATAACATATCACAAAAAAAAATGACTTTAGTCCTTCAAAAAGTATCGCCTATATTTAATCGGAAAAACAATTTCATTAATTTTGGTGATTTAATACAAAATTTATATCGTCAATAAAGAGAAATAATAGTGGGGATATTTCTTCATTTCTCGCACTATTTTAAAATCGTACAGGTGATTTTGATGTAGTTATAATTTTTTAACTTAAATGTTGTGATAACTAACCTATCGTTCATATAAATTGTTATATATTTGAGGTAAAATTGGAAAGTAACGAGTGTTGAAGTTTTGGTTAGCTAACTAAACATTAGTGATTATTTCCCAGTAACTTGTGTTATGGCCACTATATAATAGTGACTCATGCAATATCTTCACCCATCACTTTAGTCGATCCTAATTTATTAAGCCTCCAGGCTCTAAAGTGTTTATCCACTTTAGTGTTAAACTAATTGACTGAAAATCCGCTAACTTTGTAGTAATCCACAAATGCTCAAACGTATTCTGCATTGTGAAATCAAATACTGGATGACAGGAATCCTCAGAATTTAGTCTGACTATGTGGTTAAGGATGTGAGTGTTGCTTAGTTTTCAGTCGTTTCTATTTTTCATTACTTAGTTGTTCTAATAACTTAATGTTATCTCCTATGGTACTGAAAAGTCTGTTTGCTCCAATACATGAATAGAAAAACATCTTTTCTCTATGTTCTAATGATAGGTCTCACTTTAGGGATGGAAGGTAAGATTGTACTTGATATTAGAAAAGGATAAGTACATCGGCAACGGGTTTTGACTCACAATGGTGAATATTTGTACTTAAATTTTCATAACATTAGTAATTTGATTATGTTAATGGGCTGCGTCACCTTTGTTTCTGAATACTTGCATCCGTACTGCAAAACTGCTTATTTTGTTGATAAAGAGATTAATAAATGTTATTGAGTTATTTCAGTTTTTATCACTGATATTGTAAATTATGCTGCCTAACTAAAAAGCCCATTGAAACACAAGTTAACAGAACAGAAAGAATAAATGATTCTACATAACTTTCGTCAAAAAATGATAAACAAAATGAGTTTAGCTCACTTAAAAAGCGTTGGTAGAGTTCTTCTGTAGCATTTCAAAACTTTCTTCATTAACTGGGAGCTACTGATTAGAAAATAGGGTCGAATCAGACGACGGATGCGATAAAACTGTATAAATAAAAAGTATTTGGATTACATTTATTTGGCCCGAATTAAGGCAATGTAAAATTAAATGTCAACTGGTAGAAAAGATTAATATATCAAGTACAATTGACCTAGTTGTGGCCTACAGTTGCTGTTCTGAAAATGATGCGAAACCAAAATCTACATAATATTTCAACAAGAGAAAACAGATGTCTGTAGTCATCAAAACTTAAAGATAACCAAGCATAAATTCGTGTAGTCTGAACATAATATCTATTCCCTACATTAAATGAATTATTTGAAAAAAAGACTGACTGTAAGCAACAGAAACAATGAAGAGATACAAACAACCACAAATTTAGTCCAGATAATCATTTCTGAATTCTTCAAACTGGTTATATATATATTTGAACAAGTATTTGCACTTAACTTATTAATTTTACAATAATTAAATTTCATGCATTACAGCTTCTTTAGTATTCAGGTTTATGTTGATGAAGGTTTAAAAGAACCTCAAATTATTGTATCTTATTAAGAAAATGCACTATCCATTTATCACCACCATTCTTACACCTTAAAGAAGTTCAGATATGCACTAAATTCTCAAACACGCTGACTACTGTATGGTCTTTTTTACACTTCATGATTCTCATAACTTATTAGCAACACTGCTAATGACATGGTAACAGAGAACAACTGATCAAAAATCAAGAGTACAAACAAGTTAGCAAAGTACAGAAAGGGTTGAACAGAAGTTATTTTGGATATACTGAACCTAAATACATAATAATATGAAATTACATTGAAATTCCAAACTGGTTTTATATCTTACTTCGGAGCACCGAAGCGACAAAGAAACTATGAGATCCAGAAGATAAATAATCAGAAAGATATATTTTCCAATGAGCCACGGGTTTACACGGACCCAGGAAAGTCCAAATGCTCCTGACTTCAAAAGAGAATGTAATAAAAGTAGATGCGACGTTTTTCATAACAGAAAATCAGCTTACAAACGTTTGCCTAATTTTGTACGCCAACTATTAAAACCAAGGCACTAAATTTGGTCATCTTTTTTCCCTCAAAATATTCCAATGCAAGATGTTACGAATACTTAAAACTGTACAGTCTGACAGTTACAAATATTTGGCTGTAGTTTTAGTTCTAGACACGAAGTTCAATCATAAAACTTATTACAAAATGATACCGCACTCTGAGGAGCAATCTTCTTTTCCAAATAACATGTACTGAAAAGGAGACAGTTTGTCACTTGATAATTTATCCACACAACCGTTAAGTACCAATACAGTTATTTTTGACAAAATGATTGTCAAATATTACAAATTTTCTAAAATTGCTGAAGTAAAAGAACTTGGTTTCCTTAATAAACCATAACCTATCCTAAATAAAGATGTGAAACGCAGTTATTTCTAAACATAAGTGAATATTGCAAAATCTACATATGATCCAATGAATAATCTTCACTTTGTTGGTACTTATTGCTTCGGAGAGATAGGCTTGCATCAAAAGCTTAATTTCGTTTTCTTACCAAATGATTTGTGTATATCGATGCTTTTATAGAGCACTTTTAGTTCACGGTTTCCTTTGAAGACCTTACTTATCCTAATTTAAATATAATATATATATATATATATATATATATATATATATAATACATATATATTATATATATAATATATAATATACAAATTTTAAACTAAAATGGTTTTTCAATTCTCATAAAACCTTAAAATGTGGATGAAGTACAAGTATAGAAAATTTGATATTAAACTTATTTTATCGTGACAGAAAAATTTATATTTTATCATATATATGAATTTATATTTTCCCTTGTCTGCGGCATTATATATGTATTTACATATATGTATTTACTCACTAAGTTTGATTTATGTGTACAGTATACACTGCTTGTCACGACAATTACTGACTTTTCCTGTCTCTTTCTGATTATGGAAGTATATCTTAACTTTAATTACCTTCTACTTCCACGCTGATTGGTTGAGGGATTCATCATATAATATAAAAAGAACGTGTATATCTCAGGCTAGCTTTGACGTCGTGATGCTATCTGCTATTTTGTTTTGATGCATTATGAGTTGTGTTTAAATACTTTCCCGTGCTACTGATGTAGAGCGTCGCACGAGAACACTGGTCTCCTGAGAAAACTTCAGTTGTTGTTAGTTTTTAACCACGAGTTTTGGCATAAAATTCGTTTTTAGTATACGCGTTACTATTTCTTGTTTGCTTTGTTTCTGAGACACACCTTCGAACTCCTTCTTTGTGTAGAAGTAAGAATAAATTTCTTGTTTAGTCCTTTATTTTGAACTACCACAGGTTTAACACATGCAAACAAAACCTGCTCCCCTTATCAATATTAGCTGGATCTCAGAGGCGCTTCCAGTTGTAACCCGGAAGTCACTGGCTAGAAAAATATGCATCAGCCAGGTTAATTTTATGGTTAAAAGCAGTAATATAAAAAACGACAAATTGGTTACATCTTACTGCACGTTGATTCTTTGTTTAGAGCTATCTTGAGGTAAATTTATGCTACTTCGGAAATAAGGGAAACTCTAAGATAATAGTAACATATTTCGAAATTCCGTTATCCCTAGCGTAATGAAGTGTCATAATCCGACTCCTGCTTTAATTATGACGATGGTATTAATGATACATTCATTGGTTAAAAGTTCTGCTAGCTTCATAGTTTATCAAAATTCAGTTACAACAGCTTTTTGTGCTTAGGCTAAATCAGCCAGCTTGAATTTACTATATAACCTGGAATCAGAAACCGTGTGAAAATTGTTAGGATATAATCTTCAGTGTCTAAACTTATAAAACTAACATCTTCGCATATAATGCTGCAAAAATGACAGAATCAGGCAAAGCAAAGTCTTTCAAGTCGTTTTCATTGGTAGTTAAACAATTTCTTGTAAATTCGAAAACTTTTCATCAACTCTTCGTACAAGGATTTTTACTAGAAGACCACGGCAGCGCCGCAAAACGCATAATACGCCATATTTATGCCCTTACCACGCTCAGGATAATAATAGATGTATATATTATATTTACATTGGAGTGAGAAAATACTGTGAATATTTGAGGACGGTAAGTCCTAAATTAGGAATCTCTTCATAAATATAAACTATAAAAACTCACCAATAAAATTGATTGAATCGATATAAACAGTAAACATAAAAATTCTATTCCTTCTGTAATTCCACAGGGTGGGTTTGGGGGTTTCAGTTTCAACCTGATATCGGATGACGATGTTAAAGAGGAAGGCCATTCGAAGAAGGGGAGCAAGAACATTATCACCAGAGAAGCTCGATGAAGAAACGTTAAATATGAACCGTGTGAAACTTCATACATAATCAAACTGAGCTTATCAAGCTTGTGATTTATGGAACGGTACTAAAGTTCTGTCATAAATATTTAACGACCTTACGTTTTCGGCATCCTCAATTAGTACTCTCGCTTGTCTAAGTGCAAGACCTAAAGATTCTGAGCGACGTAACACTAAAACCCACTTTCACTGTCTTCATCACTGCTGCTGTAAAGAAACGTCATTTTTCAGACTAATGTGATTGGATGAACCCACGAGATCAGATGTGATTATTGAATAAACTGGTTGCAGATGGATTTGTTCAATGTTCAATGAGCAATGCCGTATTGACGAGCCAGTAAAAACAAATGGACTTCTTTGCACTCAATTCTTATTACTTTTACACGGTCTAAGGTACTTGGTATTGTCCAATAGCTATCCAATGACTGCATTACTACTAGTCGGTTGACAGAAGTTTGTGAGTTTGTATGTCCTGTGATCTGAACAAGTAAGTTTGTTTCCAATATCCACTATCTTTTTCACGAACTAATGTAAACCAACTGATTCTTTTGCCCTGGATTCTCGTTCTTTCGGTACGGTTTCAGGTGTTCGGTAGTGTCCAATGAATGGGGGTCTAGCCACTTGATTCTCTAATTCTAGTCAGCTGGCAGTTGGTTGTGAGTTTGTATGCCTTGGAACTTGAGTGAAAACGTTTATTTCATGGCAGTAGGGTTTCTGGATACCAGAAGCTATCGCACTATCAGACCGGAGGTCAATTGGTTGCAATGTGGGGAGTATTAAGGATAATACGGATAAAATTCTAATGCTAATATGAATAAAATTTCAGAACTAAGTAATACATAGATGATTTAGTTTATTAATTAACTCCGCTAGTAGAACCTTCGAGGCTACTGCCTGTTCCAAGCTTGGATAAAGGAGGAGGGTTGGACATGGGGTTAGCGTGCCCATTCCGTCGAAATCTAACTTTCCAAAAACACGCTAACCAGAAAAAATATTTCAAACCATTTTAACTCTGCCCTGAGAGTTGGAAGAAGAATTATGACGTCGCGTGGTGAAAGCCGAGTTCCCTCGGAAGTCACGGGGCCGATGCCTCTTCTGACAACTAGAGCAACCATATTTTTAGGTACTTGAAACGTTCGTACATTGTGGGAGACTGGAAGACTATTTCAAGTTGCGGCAAAATGAAAAGATACAACCTCGAGGTGCTCGGCATCAGTGAAACGCATTGGACACAGCTAGGACAACTGAGACTAGTTTCAGAGGAACTGCTGTGATACTCTGTTCATGAAGAGGAAAATGCTTCACATACACAAGGAGTTGCACTGATGCTGTCCAAACATGCACAAAAGGCACTGATAGGATGGGAATCTCATGGACCGAGGATCATTAAAGTATCCTTCAAAACAAAGAAAGAGGACATTACAATGAACGTCATCCAATGTTATGCACCTACCAATGACTACAATGACGACGATAAAGATCAATTCTACGAAAGGCTGCAGTCAATCGTCGAGAAATGTTCACCAAAGGATTTGACGATTCTTATGGGAGACCTGAATGCCAAGGTTGGAATGGACAACACTGGATATGAAGACATCATGGGACGACATGGACTGGGAGAAAGGAACGAAAACGGTGAGAGATTTGCAAACCTATGTGCCTTCAACAAACTGGTCATTGGTGGCACAATATTCCCGCACAACCGCATACACAAAGCCACATGGATTTCACCGGATCACAATACTCAAAACCAGATTGATCATATCTGTATCAACAAACCGTTCAGAAGGACTATGGAGGATGTGAGAACCAGGAGAGGAGTTGATATAGCCTCAGATCACCATTTGATGATCGCCAAAATGAAACTGAAACTAAAGAAGCACTGGACAACGGGACAGACAACATCACACAAGTATAATGCAGCCTTTCTTCCGGATACCGTAAAACTCAAATAATTCAAAATAGCCCTCAACAATAGGTTCCAGGCTTTCCAGGATCTACTCAATGGAGAGGTCGCAACATTGGGGAACATTTGGAAAGGGATTAAGGAGGCAATCACTTCAACATGTCACGAAGTTCTGGATCACAAGAAGTACCATCACAAGGAAAGAATCTCTGTTGGTACTCTTGAAAAAATTGAAGAAAGGAGGAACAAGAAGGCAGCAGCGAATGTCGGCTGAACACGAGCAGAGAAAGTTACCGCACAAGCTGCACACACAGAAGCAAACAGGGGAGTGAAGAAGAGCATCAGAGCTGACAAACGAAAATATGTGGAAGATCTAGTAATGACGGCGGAAAAGGCTGCAAGGGACGGAAACTTGAGACAAATGTACGAAGCTCGCCAGAATCTATCGTAAACCAGAAAGACCAGTGAAAAGTAAGGAAGGCAAAGTAATCAGCAACACTGAAGAACAGCGAAATAGGTGGGTAGAGCACTTTCAGGAACTCTTGAATCGACCAGCTCCACTGAACACACCCAACATCGAAGCAGCATCCACGGACCTCAGTCAGTCAGTTGCAACGTAGAACTTCGTACGTAAGTACATCAGTTCATGTCGCCATACCACATCAGCACAGAGATATAATTGTCAATTCAAATCCAATAGTAGAAGAGGTAGTAAAGGTATTAGAAGTAATCGGAGAGGTTAGAATTAGAAGATATTATTCACGAAGTATGATTCAATGAGATAATTTTAGAAAGTAAAAACTAGAGGTGTTGAAGAATCCAGAAGATTAGGATTTGAGAGAACACAAAGAATAAATGCACTGGCGCCATTGCGAACGATTTTGAGCCATGTCATTCAAGGTCTCTAGCCATCGATTATTATCATCTCGCGGACCCCAACCAGGTAGTCAACAATTACCGACATGGCTTAGTCCACTCGTCAATGACTTCATGGATTTGTGCCATGTTTTGGTCTGGCCGCCCCTAGCTTTCTTCCAACCTATTCCTACACTACAAAACAAAGCTCGACGAGGCAGTCGGTGGTTAGGCGTACGCAACACGTGTCTCAACCACCTCAACTGATGAAGTTTCACCACTTCATCTATTGATCTGCCATTCTTACCTAGTACCCGTTTCCTAATAACAGCGTTGCTAATTCGGGTGTCCCACGATATACGAGCAATGCTTCGAAGACACCTATGATCGAAAACCAATAACCGACGAGTATCTTCTACTCTCATTGGCCATGTTTCACGGACCTCCCAATTAATGTTGGCGCACCTACGATTGAGGAGATCAGTATGGCCATCAGACAAATCAAGAGCGTCAATGCAGCAGGACCAGACAACATTCAAGCGTAGGCAATGAAAGCAGATGTAGAAGCAACTGCAAAAATATATCACAACTTCTTCAAGAAGATTTTGGATGAAGAACAAGCAGCTTCAGACAGGAAAGATTGAGACCTCATCAAAATACCAAAGAAAGGCGATCTCAGCAAGTATGAAAACTACAGAGGCATCACTCTTCTCTCAATACCAGGCAAAGTCTTCAACAGGGTGTTGTTGAACGCTATGAATGATTTTGTAGACGCCCAACTTCGAGATAGACAGGCTGGATTTCGTAAGGATCGATCGTGTACTGACCGAATTGCTACATTACGGATCATTGTAGAACAATCAATTGAATGGAACTCACCACTCTACATCAACTTCATCGACTACAAGAAAGCATTCGATAGCGTGGATAGGAAAACACTGTGGAGGCTTCTTCGACACTACGGTGTGCCTGAGAAAATAGTTAACATCATACGGCATTGTTATGATGGATTCAACTGCAAAATCGTACACGATGGACAGCTAACAGACTCTTTCGAGGTGAAGATCGGTGTGAGGCAAGGTTGCTTACTCCCACCCTTTCTCTTTCTCCTGGTGATCGACTGGATTATGAAGACGTCGACATCTGGAGGGAAGCACGGTATCGACTGGACAGTTAGGACGCAGCTGGACGATCTGGACTTCGCAGATGATCTGGCTCTTCTATCGTACACGTAACAACAAATGCAAGATAAGACGACCAGTGTAGCAGCAGCCTCAGCAGCAGTAGGTCTCAACATACATACATCATTATCGACGCGCGTACTTTGAAGGTTGTACCTTTTTTTCACGTGTATTATCTTTTTCGTTTTCCGATCTTTTTACTTTAGTTCAACGGTACATATTAAGTCATCTCTTACTACTTCTCCTCGGTTATTCTTATTTCAGTAATTTTCGCTGTAGTTTTTGGCTTCATAATTCCAAACAGACATTGTGCCTATAGTAACACAACTCTGCTTACAAATAATTCCACAAAGATGTCACGTTTATCTAAAAAGCACTTGATTTCACCTGTCGAATATAACATCTGTAAAAGATCCAAATCAGCTACTAAATTCGATAAAATCAGACGTAAGAACATTGCTCCATCCGTATCTTATTCTGATCTCCCCACTGGCTCAATAGAATCTTACCGTGAACTTGTAAACGACTCCTCTTTACCGTGTATCCCGCTCGTTGATATAAACACAACTCATCTCCTTCCGAGTGACTCGACACCATCCACTACTTCTTGTGTTCCATCTGAAATAGACTCCAGTGAGCACTTGGTAGAAAGTGTGGCTGGTCTTAAACATTTGACGAGCCCGCAAGAGGATCGAATTCATAGCAATCCGAAAAATGTTTCTAGGCCTTTTTGCCATAGGATATCCAGTACTGTTGATCTGGACTGTTCACTTTCTGATATGTTCATAACTTCGGATGACTTTACGCAGACGGAGCAACCGCAAAACACTTGTAGCAAGTCTGTTCATCATCCTATTCGCCTTAACAGCTGTGACCTGAACTCCAATAGATCCCCCACTATTAGCTCCGAGGACACCTCAAGTACAATCGATATCAAGCAAACCATTCAGGATTTACTACCTTATAAATACCTGGTCAGTGTTCCAGAAAATCCTGATCTCGATATCATTAAAAAAACGGAAATAGTAATTGACCACATATCCTCTGAAGTGTTAAAAAGACTTCAGTGCATGCAGAATGCGATTGTTTATAACGTACCTGACAGTGCTAGCCTCAATTCTGTTAAAAAAGCTCTCCTTAAAGAGTGTGGATTGTCCGGCTCTTGGTGCGTAGCACGCAGGCTTCGTAAAATTCAGTCTAAATATTCCTGTCCCATTCTTCTTCAATTTAGTACTGTCATCGAAGCCAATCACTTTATTAACAGTCAGTCACTGCTTAGACACATTCCTTTGTTTAAGAAGATTAGAATTATCAGGGATAGAACTACTATACAGCGCCGTATCACCAATGGCCTTTCAAC